CATTAGAATGCCCAGATCAGCACTCCTCACACTACACAGCAGCACATGGGCTCACAGTCCCACAGGGGGCGCCGTTCTGAAACCGCTGGGCTACACATCTGCAGCGGCTGATGCTGCATTGCCCCCAGGAACAGGCCTGCATGGGTGATGCTGGCTGTCCATTGCACGGTTCATTAGGAAGTGAAGCCCTCGTTCAAGACAATGGGATCCGTGTATTCCTGGAACCAGTGGTAAACAGTAAAGAGTGTTTTTCAGGTTCTCAGAAAATTTGAAAGGCTGGTAGGTGTTCTTTTGTAAATGCTCTGAGAAATGCCCCCAAGCGCCCCCTGGTGGATGAGATGGTTTGAAAAGGTTATAACATTTAAAAAATATGTAAAATCTACAGGATGCAACAGGGCAGACAGGCAGCGCTCACATGAGTGATCACATGGATTAACATGGCTATGATAACACAGGCTCCCGCGGTACCTCTACAGCACTGACTGGCGCCGTGAGCTGATCATAAAAATACTCTGTCCCGGTTCACAGGACTAAGCAAACAAAACGACCCAGATCACTTGTTCTCCACATGGTCCAGCAGTCATGGTATGAGGATGTTCGGCATGCGGATCTGGCCCAGGAGGAGTGTGTATCCTCTGTCTGCTGCAGCTTCCACCTTAAGAAAACCACTAAAATGATTGTCTCAGTAGCTATGAATCACTCAATCGAGTTTTTATACACTATATACTAAATGTTAATTTTATTCTGAATTTGATTGATTTCCAGCCAACTACCTCGTAACACGGGGACTAAAGCCCCTCCCTCTTGACAAATTTTAATTTGTAGCCCTTTGAGATCTTGTGATGTAAAGGGCATTATAAATAAAATGTATTATTATTATTATTATTATTATTATTAAATGTCTCAGCCACCCAATAACCTGCAGCTCCTTGAACCAAGAAGAATTGAGCAGGCCAGAAAAACTACAATTAAACACAGGTAAGGCACGTTTTTATACTTGTATTTGCCATTTTTAAGACTGGGTAACCTGGCATGGGAAAAGCTGATGACATCGCTGCTGCTGAACTGAACGAAACAAGATATAACCGAATAGTTACTTCAGCATTAGTTCAAATAGAAGAACTCGTGGCCATAGGTGGAAATTAGCGGGAGAACATTTCAAACTGGATTTAAGGAAGCACTTCTTTACACAGCGTGTAGTCAGAATATGGAATAGTCTTCCTGATAACGTAGTGCAAGCTGAATCCTTGGGTTCCTTTAAATCAGAGCTAGATAAGATTTTAACAACTCTGAGCTATTAGTTAAGTTCTCCCCAAGCGAGCTCGATGGGCCGAATGGCCTCCTCTCGTTTGTATAGTTCTTATGTTCTTATGTTCTTATGTTCTAAGATTCATACTGATTGTTGCCGAGGGGTAGAGCTTTTGAAAAAATGTGTTTAACCGACAACAGAAGTCTCCAAAATGCTTATAATGTCAAGGGTATCCCGTATTAGCATGTCCGTGAGCGTGAGTTTGTTTACAATTTGAATTTGTTTATCCGTGCAAATAAAACTTCCAGAAATCGGTCTGTGTTTAGTAAACCAACGTGGTTAGCATTTCGTGACTGTCAGGATTTACACTAGAACATGTCTGGACATATTAGTGCAAGTTGTTTTGATGTTTCAAGTGTTATATTTTAGGAAATACTGATCACTTGTACTATTTGCAAATAGGGAGTTGCAGGCGAAGCGTGTTCACCTGCATTTAGAGCTTTTGAAACTGTTTGAACGTGAGATATATAGTGTCCACATTAAGTCAATTAAAATGAAATGTAATTTCAAACATACTGTAGGAACATCACTGGGTAGAGAAAGTGGGAAATTATTGAACAGGTATTATTGGTTATGAGCTTTATCTTTTTACTTCAATAATAGTACAAAAAGGGCAGTGTACACCATAGAATCATACATATATACCAAACGTTAAACACGTACAGTTTTACAAGTTATTAAATGTTTTCATGTGCACTTTCATGGCATAACTGGTATATGCAGAAACAAGGTTAGCACATAAAATCCAGTAGTAAATGGACAGTGTCAGTATTGTATAAAGCCTGCAACACAGGGATTAGCCTCAATCATTATGTTATAATCCCAAGTTTTTTGTTTATATATATTTGTTTGTTTGTTTCACTGATGATGCTGGCAGGAAAACAAAGAAAAAGTCATCGTCTAAATAATTTAACCACAATCCATTTTCCAGTGAAAACGGCTGCACGACCTGGATGAGAACCACTGCCGTGACACATGCTGCAGTAACACTGTGATATGACACTACACAAAAGCATGACACTGGAGTAGATTTAAGGGTGTTACAGGTCAGATAAGAGGCGTTTTCTCTTTGTTCAGACTAAGGTTACACGTGCTGTCCCTCGACACGCAACGCTTATAACACTGGGGAAAGGACAAACCGTCAGTCGGTGACAGTGGGCAGGACTTTGGTGCCTGGTCACACTGCTCCCGTGGTCGGAGGATTTTCCTTTCGGTTTGGTTCCTGTTTGATTTCTTTTTGATGTTAGTAGACACCCAGAGTTGATTATCAGTGTTTCTTCGATAAACTGTGGGATCCAGGTTGCTGAATTCAACAGTTCAGCATGCTGTGGATGTTCATTACACAGTTTGGACTCTTCTAAGGTCTGTTCCGCAGTGTTCCACAGTGGCTCCAATCTATTCATTCTTCTGCCCATGCTGTTAAAGGCTCTTCCAGGTGCTGGAGTCAGATGGGACTACAGCATCTGGTCAGATATCCGGGAAACGCTGTCTAAGTGGCTGATCTGTGTGGACAGGGACTTTCGGCTGTCCGTCTTCGGCTTCGCCCTCCCCCGGCTGTCTCTGCTGCACTCCTTCCCGAGATAATGGCAGGAGAACGCTGCCTTGAACTCCCCCCGAAACTTCCCTGAGAAAAGGCCACACATGGAAAGTTCAAAACGAGCACACGCTTGGATTAGTTCGGCACTTTCAGCTATCCTCTGGGCCTCTTTCTATAATGTTTAAAGTGATTTTGAGACCTTTTGAGAATGCAGATTCGTGATTCCGTAGCTGATGCACCACTGGTTATTGTTGGACCGGTATTACTGGCCAGAGAAAAATTTTCCCGTTGCTGTTTTAAAAAGGATATGGAATGACTATAGCATATGACTTATTATATGAAAATGCACAAACAGTGCCCCCTGCAATACATTAGGCAAACTCTGAACGTTTCAGTGTTCTCTGGATACTGCCATGTTCTCAAAATCAAAGTTAGGACCCTGACATGCAGCCAGCAATATATTTTGTGGGAGGTCCAGCAACCCTGCTGTAGATTATCTCTATCAGGGGGTGGAGTGGGCTACGTGCCCGTAAGGACCGTAACAAAAACTGGCTTTGATTCAGAAATAATCACTATGGTCTAGCATGTCATGCTGAGTGTGGCCAGCAGATGGCACTGAAGACAGGCTGTCAGCTGCCACTCCAAGTAAGGCGGTCACAAACTCACCGCTGAGAAAGTTATAAATAATCGGGTTGGCCGCACTGTTGGCATAAATCAGCCAGTGTGAGAAGGTGAAGCAGGCGTAGACTGTCTCTCTGCTGTTTGTGTTCTTAAATGCTCCAAAGACTCTGCAGAAAGAAATGTGACAAACACATCAATCCCAGTCACACTCAAAATAAACTGTTGTTTAGTGCAGGTGAAAAACATTCATTGGTGTATTTAATTTAACACTTGATGTTAATTAAATACATTCATTTTCTGTAATTGCTTTTCCTATTCAGAGTCACAGGGAGGTCTAGAACCTATCCTGGAAGATGGGGCACCAACCCACTGCAGCGCACACTCACACATGCACACCTATGGGCAATTGGGTAACACCAATTAACCTCAGCATGTTTTTGGGCTGTGGGGGGAAACCGGAGAACCTGGAGGAAACCCCATGATGACACGGGAAGAACATGCAAACTCCACACACGGAGCCCAGGTCCCAGAGGTGTGAGTCAGCCGTGCTGAGCACTGCCCCCCCGTGCCTCCCCTTAAATAGAATCACCAATGTTAATATTTTTACAAACAATTGAACTGTTTAAATTGATAACTTCAAATTATCTTATGAAATCATACTTAACATAAAAATTTTCAGAGCCAACTTTTGTGAGAGCGCTCTTGTTGGCCTTTACAAGATTGTAAAATGTATAATTTAAATTTTATTGTTTTTATTTAATAATTTTATATTATTTTATTACATTTATTACTTCCATTCAGATTTAACCAAACATTTTTTAGTTCCTCGTCAGAAGATAATAGAATAGGTACCACATGACTTGGGTTATCGTCATCAATTTCCTGTACAAGACGGACTCTCACATGCGTATGCCTCCACATCGCCCCCTAGCTGCGACTTTCATGTGCTAATGCCACGGGATGTTTCAGAATGCCTCCACATCGCCCCCGAGCGGCGACTCTCACGTGCTAATGCCACGGGATGTTTCAGAATGCCTCCACATCGCCCCCAAGGTGCGACTTTCACGTGCTAATGCCACGGGATGTTTCAGAATGCCTCCACATTGCCCCCTAGCTGCGACTCTCACATGCAAATGCCGTGGGATGTTTCAGAATGCCTCCACATCGCCCCCAAGCTGGACTGAGGAGGCTTTCCATGTGTTTCTTTTTTTCCTGTTATATCTTGAGCAAATAAGACATTAAATGCCTTAAAAACTTGCCAAGCAGCTGTAGCAGCAGAATGGACTGAAAGACAGACTATTAAAGTTATGAACGGACCCTGGTGTGCAGTGAACGATTTTCAGGGCTGCTGTTAGTTAGCGGATCACAGCGGTGAACTCTTCTATTTCCATGGTAATTGATCACAAGCACCCTCAGGCATTTAACAATCTTCAGCTGGTCCTAATTGGGCTGATTGTCTTTTATGGTGGCTTCAGTGTCAGCTGTGTGCTTTTGCAACAGTTGTTGAAGGAGATCTGATGGAAGTATTGAGGAAGGCTCCCCACCTCTGTAGTGCTCTTGGGAGTTTTTTTTAGGTGGGGGTTAAGTGTTTCGGCTAGTTTTAGTGGGTTTTAGTGTGCTCTCTCTGGCCTGGGCTTTCAGACCCATGTTTTGTTGGGTTTGAAGAACAGTCTGCTTTCACCTCCCTGCATTCTCTGTCCGACTCGTACAAACATCTCCTTCATGGTAGTAGTATGGCATCATAAGAGGGCTGAAGATCATCCCAGCCAGCTTGTTTAGTGCAGGGAGGTGCAGGTTTAATCAGAGAAAAGAAGACATGGTTGAAAAAAGGAACTGGGTCTAGACTAGGCTTCCCTTAATGTCACCCTTGAGAACCAGAACCAGCCACCCGCTCTGATACCTTTTCATAACGTTGAGCACACTGATGGGGAGGTAGCAGAGGGCAAAAACCAGCAAGACCACCATCAGCATGCGGGCCGTCTTCCTCCTGCAGTGAATCTGCTTGATTTCAGCAGATACTGTGCTGCTGCGCACCTTGAAGAGCTCAGCGGCACCTCCCGCCTGGGCCGAGCACTGCAGGGACTGCCACTTCCTCTGCAAGATGGACGATGACCCAGGGATCTGTAGACAAGAGCAATACTGTAAGTGTGTGCAGAGCACCTCGTACAAACTCAGGGTGAAACCCTCTGGGATTTGTGATATCCTAACTGGCATCTATAGCATCACCAGCATAATGGTTTCTTCATAAGTGATGCCCAATAAAAAGGCTTCACGGTACCATCATGGCATCTTCATGTACATTAACACATTCATAAATGATGCATTGCTTTGGAAGGTCTAATGCAGGACTCTAGAAAATGATGGATTACTCAAGGGCAAGAATCTTTCATGGTCTCAAGGTGCATGTGCATGTAACAGAAGGCAAGACGATGAATCTGTCAGTTTCTTATTGTTCATTAATGGAGGAAGACTGGGAGATGCATTGGGTCTGGTCATGAGTGTGTCAGCCTTTGTATTTAGAGCGTGAAAGCAGCTCTCATGGTACGACGATTAGAAGAGGCCGTCTTACCTGATGGTACCAAAGCTTGTGGAATATCTGGATGTAGGCCAACACCATCAGACACAAAGGAGCAAAGTAAATCACAATGAAGAAGCAGGTGTGGTACATTTTGGCGTAGATCTCATCTGGGAAGCAGAAAGGATGGAATCATACATGTAAAGAGACCAGCTGGATGTTAGCAGACTGTTAGGCCTGGAAAATGAATTTGCATGCAAAAATCCATCCATACAAGGTCTTCAACAACAAAAAACAACAAACAAATTTATTTTTGTACAGCGCATTATCACAACATTACATTGTCCCAAAGCGCTTTACAGCATCCCCACCCAAAGCCCCCAGTGAGTAAGCCATAGGTGACAGTGGCAAGGAAAAACTCCCGAGAAGGAAGAAACCTTGGGAGGGACCAGATTCAAAGGGGGAGCCCATCCTCCAGGGGGCAGCAGAGGGAACCCTAACCCTAACCCTAACCCTAACCAGACTCAAAGGGGGAGCCCATCCTCCAGGGGCCGGCAGGGAGAGTCAAATACAGTAAAATTCAGTGAGAATTGTGAGAACTGAACCGCTTTGAGCATGAATGCAATGTCATTCTGATTCATGATAACTGAGTATCGGATTGTTGGAGGCAGCCTGCTTTGGTCATTATCTTTGGTCTGTCGTCTCAATCAGAAGACTCTTGGGGAAGCTTTGTGCAAATATCAATCCCTTTTTAGTCAGCAGAAAAGAAAACTAACAGTGATTCTGTTTCCCGCCAAACAGAGATAAGAATTAGTATGACTTTTTGTAGATTTTCATTGTCAAGAAGGAAAATTGAGAAATTTCAAAATGTAATCTGTTAATAGTCTCTCTATAAACTGTATGGTATGTTGATATAAGACACAAAAGTGAAACAAAAAACACAGTTTGAAAGTTTACACATACACTGTCCTGGATGGGATACAGGAGGTTATACGCAGTGGTTAAGAACACAAGAAATTTATAAAGGAGAGGAGGCCATTCGGCCCATCAAGCTCATTTGGGGAGAACTTAACTAAAAGCTCAGAGTTGTTAAAATCTTATCTAGCCCTGATTTAAAGGAACTCAAGGTTTTAGCTTCCGCTCCACTAACAGGAAGAGTCTTCCATATTTTAACTACATGCCATGTAAAGAACCACTTTCTCAAATCCAGTGTAAAATGTTCTCCTGCTAATTTCCACCTATTTCACCACGAGTTCTTGTATTTGAATGAATATTGAAGTAACTATAATCTAAGCATCACCGCCCTTGACTTAATCTCCACACACCTAGAGATGTAACCCAACATCCTACTGGCCTTTTTAATTGCTTCCCCACACTGGCAAGAGTGGGACATGGAAACACAAGTGGTTCCCAGTAACAGATTCACCTCCCCAGTGCTCATCACACACGGTGAAGAGGCTGGTCTTGTTGGACAGCTCGGGCAGCAGGCTGGTGGTCTCCATGACTACGGCTTGTGGGACCATGATGATGCAGGACAGAATCCAGATGAGTGCGATGCTCTTGCGGGCTCGTCGCGGTGTGCTCTTGAACATCAGAGGGTGGCAGATGGCATACCAGCGGTCCTGGGCGACGAAGCTGAGCGTCAGCACAGAGACACACACCGAGATGGTCTGCAGTTTCCCGGGAGACAGAGAGAGAGACAGAAACAGAATAGACACCAATGAGGAAGTCTGTCTGTTGTCCTGTGTGGTGTTGACCCGAAGAATCCCCTCGAAGGGCGTCAGTCATTTTGTGCTCGGGTTTCAATTAAAAACTACAGAATAAGCTACCAGACTAACAAAATACTAAAGTAAAAAATGTAAGAGCCAAAACTGGGAGAATTACAAACTAATTAAGATTCCTGTTTAGAATTTATTGTTGAGAACCATCTTCACGTAAGTTGTAGTTGTGAGGGCACACGTATTTGTCGTGTACGGTTCAGTTTTTGGCTCGGTATGCACAATGAAACAAATAAATACATTTATTAACACTGGCAGAACCTAAATTCACAAGCTGATGTTCAATATGGAAGACATCATGCTAATTGTGGCTGCAATTTGGTTACGGCTAATGTTGGTCAGTCATAATCGGCAGTCTGGGAACATTTTCATTTTCCAGTAAAATATTATGTTTATAATATGCAAATAAGCTTTTGTTAGGTTATGTTATAGACATGTTGACAGATGCATTACCTTTGGTTTATGACTCTTCTTAATCGTCTTTGTCTTTGCATGTTTAAAAATACATTTCAAAACAAATTCTGTTTACCGACTGTTAGCAAAACTGTATCGAACCATGAATCCAAAACTGTGGTTCATTCCAAGCAATGACCTTTGTGTACCATTAACCCCAACTAAGCTGTTCTATATTGTACGCATGGTCATTTCATCATGGTAATGGTATGGACCAGCATAATTTACCCCACTGCGGTTTGCTTCTGGTTCCACTGTAGTTATTTTTATGGGATAAAAGTGGACTCCAAATGGAGATCTATTCCATCTCTCCATGAGGTCAAATTGTTTTTGTCATTATGGATTTTCTTTTTGTTTACCCGTATTTGATTTGAAATGTAAGTAAATGTGAAGCATCTATGAAGTAGCCTGTTTCTCCGAGACCCTAACCCTAACCCTAACCCCACCACACCAAAAGACATCTACCCAAGAATCAATCATCTAATCCAGCTACTTTGTGACCGGCTTGGCGAGCCCAGTTCCCGCCACCACCTTCGTGCACAGATTACTAAGGACAGGGGAAATGACAGTTTGATTCACCTAAAAGATTCATTCACCAGCTTCTTCAGTGGTACTTGCTATTTGCATAAAATAGATCTGAAACACTTGTGTTCCGATATGTCAAACAGATCATGCTAAATAGTGCTAGCTAAAATTAGTCGTGAGAAAAATACATTTAGGCTACATACTACCCCAGTTGAAGGTGTATTTCAGTCACAACCGAGGTACGGCTCTCTGGTTCACTACCCCGAGTCGCCCACCAACTCGTTCACCCCTTCAGGTCCCTCATTCAGAGGGAGAATGAGAGACCCAAAGGAGTGGAGTGAGTTGGTGAGTGAGTGTGACACTCTTGGTCATTCATTCACTGTAGGCGTATACATTCAGCCAATCATATGCTCCTTTACAGCAGTGGTTTTTCACTAGCCACACTGGTGAGGCGTTATCTTACCAGTACAGGTACAGGTGTGCCGTGTATGAAGTCATGTTATTTATTTAAAAAAAATGAAGTATAGCCCCTGATTCAATAGCTTGTAGAACCACCTTTAGCGGCAGTAATTTGAAATAATCGTTTTCTGAATGACTATCAGTCTCTCACATTGTTGTGTAGGAATTTTGCCCCTCCCCTCAGTTCATTGAGGTTTTATACACAGTTCTCTGAAGGTCCTGCCATAGCATTTCACATGGGTTGAGGTCTGGACTCTGGCTGGGCCATTGCAACACCTTGATTCTTTTCTTTTCCAGTCATTATGCTGCTTGGGATCATTGTCCTGTTGCATGACCCAATTTCGGCCAAGCTTTAGCTGACTCTACAATATGGTATACAGAGGAGATCATGGTCGACTCAATGACCGCAAGGTGCCCAGGACCTGTGGCTCCAAAGCAAGCCCAAATCATCACCCATCCACCACTGTGCTTGACAGATGGTATGATGTTTGTGCTGATATGCTGTGTTTTGGTTTCTGCCAAACATGGCGCTGTGCATTATGGCCAGACATCTCCACTTTGGTCTCGTCTGTTCACAGGACGTTGTTCCTGAAGTCTTGTGGTTTGCTCACATGCAACTTCGCAAACCTAAGCCATGCTGCCATGTCCTTTTTAGAGAGAAGAGGCTTTCTCCTGGCAACCCTTTCAAACAATCCATACCTGTTCAGTCTTTTTCTAATTGGTCCGTCATTAACTTCAACAATTAATATGCTGACTGAGGCCTGTAGAGTCTGAGATGTAGCTCTTGGGTTTTTTGCAGTTTCTCTGAGAATTGCACAGTCTGACCTTGGGGTGAATTTGCTGGAACATCCACTTATGGGAAGATTGGCAAATGTCCTTAATGTTTTCCACTTGTGAATAATCTTTCTCACTGTAGAATGACTCCAAATTGTTTGCAAATGGCCTTATAACCCTTCCCAGATTGATGGGCAGCGGCAATTGCTTCTCTAAGATCATCGCTGATGTCTTTCCTCCTTGGCATTGTGTTAACACACCTGAATGCTCCAGACCAGCAAACTGCCAAACCTCTGCTTTTATAGACGTGGTCACAAGTGCTGATGATAAATTAATCAAGTGCATTTGATTAACAGCACCTGGCAGCCACTTACCCCCTTCATTCCCATGGAAGCAGTAGGGCTGCACTTAATTTTTCACACACTGCTTCTGCATTTTGGCACAGTGAAATATGTCATGTGTTGTAGTTCATCTGAGGTTGTATTTACCAAACTTTAACACTAAAGACCAGATTTTTTGTTACGTCCTGATACATAAAACCATAGATTTGAAACAGTGGTGTGTAAATGGCTTAGATGAATAAAGCTCTGTGTACAGGCAACTTTTTTATTAATTTAATTGGCCAATAGTTTTTAAGTGCACTTAGTCACACAATCAGCTGCAGCCAAGAATAACACCTGCCTACAACTGACACCAGT